CCGATTTAAAAGAGTTTAATAAACTAATTAAACCGAAAACAATATTGTATAAATATTAAAATGTACCTACAAACTATTAATCTTCCAATCTTACTGCAATTAAATATTGTTTTTTTTTTCGGTAATAGGGGTTTATAATCTATGACTAAAAAATAATTTTGTTATGGCACGCCGCTAGTGGCGTCACCTCTTGGTACTCTAATGAAGCTAGTCAACAGCGCGCTGTTTAAAAACACCACTAGCGGCAATTGGAGTAAGCATTTTTTAATATTTTACAGTTCGTTTCTTTAACGCTAAGTTCAAATAGAATTATTATGTTTGTAATTCCAGGTTCCTTAAAAAAATCAAGGAAAAACACATTTTTTTATAAAATTCCAGGTTAATTCCAGTACTGAATATTTTTTTTACAAATTCCAGGTTTTCCAGGACACGTGGGAACCCTGCTATAAATCGGGGGTAATGCCCGGCCCGGCGACAAAATTCCGGGAGTGGTCATAAACATCGACACTGGCATCCACGACCCCCTAGGCGAGATTTACCAGGCGGGGTAAAAATTAGGATCCACCAAACACAGATAATGCTATGCAGTGGCGAGATACGTAGGATAACTGAAAGGGGGTAAAATAACCCTGGGAGATCAGTGTAGGGCGTTGCCGATGGGGCTTTAAGCTTTAAACTTGATTTTGTTTAAAGCCAATATTATTTATTAAACGAAAAACGCAGATTCTTGATATCAACTATTTCAACTTATCTTTTAAGCTTAAAACTTTAAATTAAAAAATTCAGGTTTTCAATTTTTTTTTATTAAATTTGATTTAAATTATATAAAAACAAATAGGCTTTTTAACTATCATAAACCCACTTTAATATTAATTTTTTTAATAGGTATAACTATTTTATGTTTTGATGTGTAAGTTGGGTGTGAAATTGTCCGAGGTCTTTTTTTATATTATTTCAATATTTGTATGAGTATGAGTATGAGTATAAGAGACGTATAACCAGCCCCATTTCCTCTTGACTCTCGAACCCCGTACAGGCCTATGTTTACTTACGCCGATTTTTGTTCTTCCCCAGCAACTGCACGGCTTCACCCGTGTTTGCTGGGTGCGAATGTCCATTGCGTTCCGTACTGTCCCCTATTTGGGGCTCGAGAGCGAGAGGCGAATAGTTTAAATAGCCTTTCCCGGGTTCGCCGAGCCTATGCTATACGCTCAGTGGGGTATGGAGGAGGGACGGGAGGGTGTTGGTTTTTGGGGGACAATTACGCCGACTTAAAACTAAGTACGACGCGGAATCCCCCTAGACCAGTCGATTAGTATTACTCCAAACATTTGGGATTACTATTTGGAGTTGAGGAGTTGTTATTTCGCTGCAGGGGTGTAGTTTCCTAGTCGAGGTCTTTGTCTTGTTCGTTATTGTCATTGTCCGTGTCCTGGTCAGATAGTTCCTGCCCTTGGTAAAGTGTGTCAGTTGTTTTTAATAATTTTTGTCCCAAGCACATTTTGTGGTAGAGTTCCGTCTTTCTTTATCAAATTCCAAAGCATTGCATTTATTCACTAGTCAAACAAATCACAAGCGCGATTATTCTGTTGTCTAATGTTTACAAATCTCGAGTTTGGCTATTAGGCCCTTTTTTTTAATGTGTTAGAATTATGTGATCAATGTTAGTTTACTCTGTGAGTCCATTGTTTATTTTCGGTCTCGATTGGGACCGCCTTACGCATTTGCTGATGACAGACTTATTGCCCCACGCCGCGTGCCCTTCATAGGTTTTAAAGATATCCCAATAAACACTTTAACGATACCTATCACCATTAACATTGCCCGTGTAAGAATTTTTAATACTTTTTAATACAATTTTGCAATGATAGTAATTAAAAACAAAACAATTGTTTAAAGAGTAAAATATGTTCTTAACATAATCATATTTTAAAGTTATTTTAACATTTTCAAGTAAAATAAATGTTATGTTTGATAAAATGAATACGGGCAATGTTAATGGTGACAAATAACGGAAAATGTTTGCTGGGATCTGCCGTATTTATATTGCAGATTTGTATCAGGTCATGCATACTCTTAAAGTAAAACTTATCAGCTTTTTTTTTGCGGATGGCCACCTCCCCTCTTCTCCGACCTCCCCCGTCCGTCCAGTGAAAAGCCTCCAATGACAGGTGGCACCCAACTCATTCATATCACTCAACACTCCACTCCTCAATGACCGTTACACCATTTTTGTTTGCACTCTATGAAAATGTTTGTTTCACTTATTAGTTTGCACCTTTTTTTTTAAATTATTGTTGGTTTCATCTTTAAACTTTTACGTTTCAAGAGCTTTCCCGCACGCGACGTGTCTTCTCGAGCGCTGGAACCGAACTGATTTTATTTCAATATTTGTATACTAATTAAAAATAATAAACTAACGCGTTGTAATAAATGTAAATAAGAGGAATTTAAGAATAATTTTGTCAAACACGGCATGGTAAATTAACCCTCTGGCAGGCGAATTAAAATTTTAGCTATTTTTGAAAATGTTTAACCTAAAAACTTATAAAGTCCCAGTAATGTAAATATGTATTTATACGAGTTTTAAATGATGTATACTTTGTGGCATACTTCTTTTATGTTTAACAAGAACACTAAGTATAAGATATACTATGCTAATATCAACTCCATACTGAACTATCTAAGTGCATTCTGGGGACAAGCTCGAAAACAAGATTTTGATAAAATACAAGTCTCTCAAAATAAGATTATAAAAACCCTTTTCTGTAAACCACCACTAACTAACACCAGGGATTTGTATAATGAAATAAAGTTGTTAAAAATAAATGAACTTGTAAAGTTGGACAGCATTAAGTTAATCTATAAAATCAGGCATTTTGTAAGTACTAATATTCAGCTACAACAAAACTGTGATATTCATGAATATAACACGAGGACAAATCAACATTTCCATCTGTTACCAAATGTTACCAACATTGGAAGAAAACGCCTAACTTATAATGCTACTAAATTTTTAATGAACTTCCCAATGAAATAAAAGCTTTATCAAATCTACAAACCTTCTCAAAGGCTGTGAAAACTCATCTGTGTAACTTAAGACTTTAAAATTTAATGTATGTGATATTAACAAGTTAAGACTTAAAATCTAATGAATGTGATATTAATAATAATAATTCTATTACTAATTTAAGACTCAAATTGTATGTGATACTAGTAATAATCTTGATTGCCTATATATATTGTTGTATTTTATGCCTGTTATAAACATTTATGTTTTTTTGGGTTTAATAAATAAATAAAAAAAAAATAATAAAAAAACAATTTTTAACAAAATGTTTAAAATAATATACAAAAATTTATTTTAAAATAAATGGCAAAAAATGGCAAAAGTGACTTTTTAAAAGAAATATTAGATAATTAAACATTTATTAATTACTGGTATTCACAGATTTTTTTAAAGAAGTCTTAAAAGCGCTAGGAACAAAAATTACCGTAAATATAAATTGTTTAAGTGCCATTTTGCAAATTTATATCTGATTCCGTTTAAATTTTAACACTATAAAGTAGATGAAAGATCCTACAATTTTTTTTAATTTCTTTGATTTTTAAAAATTGTCAAATTTATGGCTAAAAAACGATTGTATTTTATTCAAACCAGGATTTCTTTAAGGAAATAACTTTATAAATGAGTATAATTTTTTTTCAGTTTAGTTACGACCATAGCTACATTACCAATGATCCGAAGTTAAAGTATTTAATTATAAAAATACAAATTTTAAGGTATGCATGTTGAAAAAAATGTTTTTTTCTCAATATTGCATAAACAAGAGCTTTTTGAGCAAAATTAGTCATTTTTGATGTTGTCCGGGACAACTTGTCCCATACCTACTAAGGCAAAATGGCTCTTGACCAGTGTAATAAATATTTCTTACTAAAGGTTTTTATCTTGTGTAATGTGTAAACTACTATCAGTAACAATGGTGTATCGCCCTTTGACATCTTATAGAATAGAACTTTTTAACAATTTGTGGTTTATATTTTTTTGATTATGCTTGTCGGAGTAACTGTGGGATCCCTCCAGCCGGGGGCCTCATATCATTGTTACGGCTGATACAGCGGTAGCTGATTAGTATAATAAAAACAGGTGGTCTTGCTATATATTTTCTCTCGCTAAAACTGAATCAAAACTCTGTTTAGCCCCTACACGTCTGGATTTTTTTCTACAGTGTATCCCCGGATCGGGTTGCCAATAGGAAGGACTTTTTATTATGCGAATATACGAAATAAAAATAAAAAAATTCTAAAATTTTTTCTTTAAAATAATAAATAAGACTACTTCTCTCGCTAAGCATTTTCATGTTTTCTTAAATTTTGAGCACCCTGTCATTGGATTCAAAATAATTTATAATAAAATTTATTGGCATCTTATTTTTTAAACAATGATAAGCTTTTTTGAGAATGCATCTTTTTTGTAAACCGCAGGGCACTTATCTGAATGAATTTTCATATTTTCTTAATTTCTGAGCACCCTGTAAACTTGAATTGTTCCTATTGGCAACGCGATGCGGGGATAAACTGTAGAAAAAAAATCAGACGTGTAGGGGCTAAACTGAGTTCAGATTTGGTTTCATCGGGCGAAAAGACATAGAAATATAATGGCGCAGACAACTTTTTTTTTTGTTGGCCTTTGTAATATATAATAATTTATCAATATTAAAATTTATCGTTTACAAACGGGACACACAACGAACGAAAAGTAAATATAATTTACTTACTGTTTAACTAACGTTAACGTACGGAGAAAAATACGAAAATACGAAATTAAACGAGTGGTCGCTGTGGGCAATAGCAAAACTGGTGAATAGCGCTGTTCTAATTGGACAATTCGTAGGCTTTGGCTCAACGAGAACTGGCAACGTTAGGAGCTAAACAAGAACCGACCGTCTGGATTTTATAATATGTAGATATATGTATATTATACTTATACTTATACATACCAATTCTAGCGTGTCTTTGTTTTTCTTTATTACTATTACTTCTTCGTTTTCACGTTCCTCAGATATTCGTTTATCTTTGTGAGCATCGTCTAGATCTTCTTCGCTACCATTATCGCTCTCCTCGTATTCTATTTCGTCGTTTGCCTCGCCAACTTCATCGCCTCTGCTTAGCAGTTCTTCAACGTCTTCAACAGTTTCACTGCTGGCACTGCTTTTGGTTTTATCGACAGCTTTTTCCTTTTCATCTATTTGCTTCATTTCCTTCGTTATTCCTTCAATTAGAACTGTTTCCAATTCCACTATTTCTTTGATTTCGACGATATTATTGCCCTCTTTTTCAGTGCTTTTAGTTCTTTTCAAAAGTATTCTTTCTTCAATGTCTTCTACAAGTTGTCCTTGTGCTGGATGACTTACTTTAATGTCGGTATGAATCGGCAATTCTTCCAACATGGCTGTATTTTTAGTTTCGAATTCATTTATGATTTGGGCCTCTTCGATAATATCGTTTATTTGGTCTTCCAATAATTGATCAGCTTCTATTTTCTCAAAATCGTCGGAACCATTACTACTACCTCTAATATCATCGTCTTCCACCATAACCATCTGTTCGGATTTTTTATCCGAAGATGACTCGTCAGTACCATTTTCTACAATTTAATTCTTAATTAAAACCAAAAGTATCAATAACATAGTGCAACACAAATGTTTAAACAAACAAAGGATATCATGGTAAGAAAGTACTATTTTGGCATAAGCAGTTTGAACAAAATTTTGCTTTGTGGCCTATTTGAGTTGATTTATTTATACAGTCTTTGGTAAATAAATAGCTGATTTTTTATAGTTATTTATAACTATTCATATAAAACAGACTGATATTTAATTTCTTTTTTTATTGTATTTAATTCACCTTCGATTTGTATTTATTAAAATTACTATTGGAATATGTGACAAAAAGAGTTTCAAGCGATAATTTGTAATGTGTTAGAAGTTGGGATATGTTGTTATAAGAAAAAATATTTTTCATCCAATGACTTATGCCCTTACATTAAATTTCTCAAAAAATTAAATAAGTTAAAAAACTGTTGGATCTTATTTAAAAATGATCTTGCATAATTTTATTAATGCACTGTTTGTATTTTTTAATTAAAAAAAATTTTGTAAAATTTAAATTTTTTAACGTTCAAGTCATTAAACTGATTCCAGGGGAATTTTGGTTTTCATAGTAATTTTATGCCATGATGCCAGATTTTTTTTCTGAAACATTTTTCTCAACATTGTTATTGTTGGTTTAATAGAGAAGTCCATGCAAAGTTATAAATTATGAAATATGGCGAGTATAAAATGTATGCATTGGTAATTAAAATGTGATATTTTAATGAAGGTTTTATGTGTATATTTTTTGCAGCAATTAATATATTTAAAAGGGAAAAAATAATAATTTTCCAAGTTTATTTTTTCTCATGTAAAACTATTGTTTTCCAATGAAAATGTGATTTAGCCACCTTAAAAATACAAAACATTTTAATAATTAAAACAAACTAAGAAAAAAATTACCAGACAAATTTATATGACATGGAAATTTTATAAGGTAATTGTTATTTTGAAAGATTAATTAATTAGTATGATGCAAGGGAAATAATTGTTACATAAAATAAAGTTAGTACCAATGTATTAATAACTTACTGGTATTTTTCCAATTTATTAAAAATCAATTCCAAGCGTTGAATTTATTTTAAAAATTAAATTGACACAAAACCATAACTTATTTTATTTAACAATAATTTACATAACATAACAATATAATAAAACATACATAACAAAATTAACATTTTATAAACAAAAACTATTTATTATTTCTTTCTAGAAAAAAAAACTTTAAAAAAATATTATAGCATTATAAAATTAAATAATTAGGTTATTTTAGTGTTTAAATGGATACATATATTATGTGTTACATTTTTTAAATGGCTGAATTTCCTTACTTATACAAAAAAAAATTAAAAAAAAATATTATAGCATTATAACATTAAATAATTAGGTTATTTTAGTGTTTAAATAAATACTTATATTGTGTTACATTTTTTTAATGGCTGAATTTCCTTACTTATACTTACCGGAAGAATCGAGACTGATTACAGATAATGTCATTTTACTTGCAAGAACAACAGCTTCATTATCTCCTCGTTCATTATCAAGTTCGGTAGTAGAATCAGCAACAAGAAGATGAGATTGTGCTGGTAAAGCTCCTTCCAAGAATATTTCCTGAAATTCCGATAACATAATTAACACAGATCTATAAATTTTTGATTATTTTTGGTGTAAATATACATCATATACATTCTAAAATTCTTTTAAAAAACTTTAAATGATATACAAAAAAAGACTAATTATTATTAGACGATTGTAAGATTATTTCCAATATTGTTTTTTCCGAGAATTTGGTGGCATTTTCATCTACTTCTCTGGTGATGCATAATTGTATTAGTAGGTACAGTTCTGCCGTGCTTAATGAAAACGCCGTAACCAACAATTTTGCGATTTTTGGTTTACGGCATTTTCTACTAGAACAATTCATCCTGCGTCTATCCCCGGTACTCAAAAAACCGTATAGATATATATACGGTTTTTTGAGCACCGGGGATAGACGTAGGATGAATTGTTCTAGTAGAAAATGCCGTAAACCAAAAATCGCAAAATTGTTGGTTACGGCGTTTTCATTAAGCACGGCAGAGTTGTATTCAATAAAAAAGCGTACAAGAATTAGAATGAGAGAAAACTGTCAAAATAATATTATTGCTTAAAACCGGCTTTTCACTGACATAACTCATTAAAATAATTACTATAGGTTATAAAGAGCATTGACGTCGTAGGTTAATTAAATAGTATTACAAAAATTATTACCTTTTAATAATGAAAAAAACAAACATTAAAAAAAATTTAATATTTAGTCATGCATCCCTGTTTTTCTATTACTTGAGCCAATCTATTTGGGATGAACTGAATTAAATTTAATACAATATTTGGATTAATATCTTCCCAGCAGTATAGTAGGTATAGTATATACTATACCTACTATACTGCTATATAGTTGCATAGTTTCCCATAAATCCTCAGATATCCCAAAAAAGCAGCATCCTGTTCAGGGGTGGACATTTTGGGACGACCTGAACCAACATTTTGGTTTAGTAAATCTTCCTGTTCCCAGCGTTGCTTAATTTTTAATATAGATTTTTTATTTCTATTATACCACAGTACGAATTGACCATTCTTCTTCGATTCTTGATACTATTTGAGCCTTTTTAACTGAAGAGCCTCTTCAGAAGAGGCATTTTTATTTTCTACTGTCAGTTATAGTGACTTAAGTCAGTGGAAAGCCGGTTTTACGCAATAATGTTGACAGTTTTCTCTCATTCTAATTCTTGTACGCTTTTTTAATGAATACAACCCTGTTAAAAATCACCCATAGAGACCAATAGAAACCAATAAAAAATCAGAATGGAATGAATTGGTCTTTATTGGGCCTATTGGTTTCTCAACAGAATGAGCATTGGTTTCTATTGGGAATTTCCGTACTGGAAAATGCCAATAGATTACCTAATGGTCTGAATTGGTTTTTATAAGAAGTTACAAGTACAGGAAATTCCAATTGAAATTCAATTGGTAAATACCACTTAAATGTTCAGCGCCTGCGTAATTTAATACAAATGACCACTTGTTTCTATTGGCAATTTTCTTACTGGAAAATACCAATAGATAAACTAATGGTCTGAATTGGTATTTTATCGGTGTGTAGGTACAAGGAACCCTATTGGTATATACCACTTTAATATTTATTTTCAAAATTCGCCAATAGGTAGGCAACCCATGCATACCTCTCGCCTCTGTAGCACAATACATAGGCCTATAAAGGTGGAATGCCTTGAGCTGCTAAGTAAGGATTCCTTACTAAGGCAAAATTACTGGCCATGGAAACGCCTGGCGTTTTGGAATTTTTAAAGGGGCACAGGTCGTCCTGTGGCCCCAGTGTTACCAGATTCTGTCAAAAAAGGACCGTACGTTTCGTTCGAATTTACCTTAATTACAAAATGACACAATGAAACAATGCAAATAAATGCAATTATGTCAAGTTGACGTTATTTAATATTGTCCATTGAGTCATTTTTGTAATTAAGGTAAATTCGAACGAAACGTACGGTCTTTTTTTGACAGAATCTGGTAACACTGTGTGGCCCACTCTGCGAAAAGTAAGTAGTGGGCCCCACTACTTACTTTTAGCAGAAGCTATTTATAAAATTTAAATTAAATGTTAAACAGCACTATTTTTGAGAAATTATTTAACCATCAAAACACGTAATTTTTTACCTTAAAGACGTCTAAAATGGATAGTGGGGACCAATTCAAACCAATAGCGGTACCTCTGGATAATCCAAATAGCTCTATTGGGAATTACCAATAAAATATATCTATAATATATCTATTGGGAATTACCAATAAAATACGATTAGTCTCTATCGGTCTGTATTGGGATTTTCCAGCGGTGTCGCTATTGGTTTGAATTCAAACCAATAGAGCTGCCGCTGGAAAATCCCAATAGCTTTTCTATTGGTCTTTATGGGTGATTTTTAACAGGGAACTGTATCTCGATGTTGTGATCTTTAGCAGCAAACTTAGTTGAAAGATTTTTTAATCTAACAAGAATTGGAACTTTTATTTTTAGTTTTTGATAAAGAAGGCCATTGGGAGGATTGTGAAGAGGGTTTGGGGGATGGCGGAGGTTGGAGAGTTTAATAAAACTGCCCTATTAAAAAAAACCCTATCTGGATTCTATAGATAGATAGATAGATAGATAGATACATTTATTAAGTAATAAACATTACATTAAACGTCAGGTACATATGAATATAAAATTAAAAAAATAAAATGAACATAGCTATAGGTATAAAAAACATATTAAAAAAACGGTATGTACATATAATATAAACAACAAAACATATTTATAAACATTGAAAGTTAAAATTAGTATTTAAGTATTCATTTAAAGAATAATAACAATTTTGGATTAAAATACTTTTCACAGATTTTGAAAAAGCTTTGGGATTCTTTATTTTTTTTATTGATTCTGGAAGATGATTAAACAGTTTCGGTCCCCAATAGTGAATACTTTGTTGTGCCAATTTGCTTTTGTGAAGTGGAATTTGGAAAAAGTTCATGTGCCTAGTATTGTACACAGCAAACGAAAAATTATAGAGGTGTATAGGATGACGCCACGTTTGAATATCGTTTTCTAAATCTCCCTACGGCATAGAGTTGTATTCGTCAGTCGAGCGTTTCAATACTCTCCACAGTATAGAGGTCGTAATTTCACTTTTGAACTAGTATTAATATAAACATTATTTTATGCTTAAAAAAAACTATATACGACATGATTGTGATTTTTTTCATTTTATTAATTAATTAAGCTGTGTTGAATATTTTTCCTAAAGGAATAATTGCCAATTCATTTGTTCGTAGATGCTACAATAACCTGCACTGGTGTGTAGTTTTTCATCAACCAGATTTAAATATTACAAAACTAACATATACCAGTGGAGATAGTGCAGGGTCTACCAACAGACCTAATTACTAAATTATTAAAGTTTAATAGCATATCGATCATTTTTCAACATAACCTCTGAAATGTTTAATACAAATATAGGTACTTTATATAATACATAAATATACTTAACATCATATCATCTGTGCTTTAAATACCTGAGTTGTTACGGTAACTAAAAATCAGACAAAGGAACCAAAGAAAGGAACTATTTTCAACAAAATCATATGCAGAAAGGAGAAAATTCAAACTACTTGCATCCATCAAAAGATCAAAACTTCTTGCAATATTACACCCTCTTTTTATACTCTCAGAAATATTGACTAGAACAGTATTAGAGAGACTCTACTTTCTATAAATTGGTAGAGTAAAGAGAAGTCGAAACCGTTGCGACATTGCATTGCGCTATTTTTGTATAATTCTCGGGGACATTAACGAAAATCATTGCCAGTAAAATTCGAAAAGCTTGAGTTTCTATGTCTCTGAGGAGAATAGGAATCCGAAGTTGCTGCACCATTGGACTGAACCCTTTTTTAATAATTTCTAGAGACATAAATGACTGCACCATTCGACAGGGTCGAGTTTCTACTCCTCTGTTGAATATAGAAAATCAAAATAATGTATCTTGTAAGACACCATTGAGTTTGACTTTAAATATAGTCGTGCATAGGTATAGAGCCGAAAAATATAAAAACAAAGCACGATTCAATACAGTTATGATAAAACTTTAAGATTTGATATTCAAACGCGGAGTCATCCTATACACTTCTATAATTTTCCGTTTGCTGTGTAGGTGTGATTTTCAGAATTTCTATCAAATTCGTCTGAATTTAAATATACATACTTTATTGCTGCCAAAATAAATATAGATGGAATTGTAAGTATTTTTTGATTTTTAAAATGTTCTCTACAACTCTCATTTGTTTTTAAATCACAGATTATTCTAATCGCTTTTTTCTGTAAAATAAATATTTTGTAGGAATCGGTAGAAATCCCCCAGAATAAAATTCCATAACTGGCAATGCTGTGAAACATGGCGTAATAGGCTGTTTTTGTGGATATCATATTGGCACAGAGTTTTAATCTTCTCATGCAGTAGATTGCACTGGTAAGTTTTTTGCTAATGACTTCTACATGTTTGTTCCATTTAAGTTCACTATCTATATGAACACCCAAAAACTTGATTGTAGTTTTACTATCTCCAAAAAAAGTTATTATTTGTGTTTTTTTCTCATTTAATTTAAGTTTGTTGGAGTTCATCCATTCTTTGGCTGTTTTTAATATAGTTTTAGATTTTTCACCTATATTAATTTCTTTAGGAACTTTATAAATAATTGATGTATCATCTGCATAAAGACAGACTTCACTTTCTGGAATATTTGCAGGCAAATCATTTGTATATAAGATAAATAGTACTGGACCCAAAATCGAACCCTGAGGAACACCATATGACGTGACTACTTCTGTGGAATATTCGTTTTTCCATTTAACAACTTGACGTCTATCCATTAGGTAAGATTTTAATAGCTCATAAACTATTCCCCTAAATCCATAATGTTCTAGTTTTCTTAAAAGTAGTTGTCTATCCACCGTGTCAAAGGCTTTACTTAAATCGCAACACGCCATTTCTACTTTTTGTTTTTTGTCATGTGCCGTAACTATATACTTT